CCACCCTGGGTTCCCATAGCTGCTGTTCCAGTCTAATGAAGTCTGTCTTCTAGAAATGCCCTGGACAACGAGGACCTTTCCAGATGACAGGGACCACAGATCGGCTTCACATACCAGGGAGTTGCTGGCTCCGTTGAGCCAAGCTGTGGAGATCAGCTCCTGCCACTCACCCCTGAGACCCAAGCTCAAGCTTCCCCTCGGCCAGGGTCCCCACGGCCCCTCATCCTTCCACCAAGTCCAGCCTCCTGGGTCAGCCTTCCCCACAGCACCCCCAGGGCTCAGCAGTCCTGGAGGCCTGGCCCTGAACAAATCTTAATTAATCGCTCTCTTCCCAGACTCCAAGTACCGCCTGGTTAGAGCAAGAACTCAATAAATATTTGTTGAGTGAATGAAAATGTGTGCATGAAAGATGATTTCTGCAAGTCTGTTTGCATTTAACGAAAGACCCAGCCTCCAGCCCCAGGAATGAAGCAGAACTTTAGGTCCAACCAGCTGGGGCCGGAAGCTTGCTGCTCTCTGTTGTTCAATGTCTGGGGACGAAGCGGCCGCCTGGGCAGGGGGGATTTTTCCCTCATGATTTTCCAGTGGATAAACAGTCCTGAGGTCTCCCGAAAAGCACCATGGAAACAAATATGCTCCCCCTTTGATATTTTTGGGGTGGGAACTGCTCTAGCCCTGTCCAGTTTCCCTGCGAGGTCGGCAGAATGTTCCCTCCTCACCTCCTGGTGGCCCTCTCTCCATCCCAGCTCGGATCCCACCGCCCCTGGGCCCCACAGCCAGCCCAGCTCCTCCTGACCAGGGCTTCTCGGGGCGGGGGTGGGGGGGTAAAGGCCCCTCCTGTAGCACAGACATTTCCACGTCAAGCCCCTGGCCTGGCTGCTTCTCCCAGCTGACCTGGGGCCCGCTGGGTCATCTGGGCCCTCCCTGGACCCCCTCCAGCTTGCCCCCTGCAGCCCACCCCACTCTGCCCAGAGCCATCCTCAGCAGCCCACAGCAGGCTGGGTCCCTCCACTGGAAACACTGCCCAGGTGCTGTGTGCCCTCAGGTCACAGAGGCTCCGACACCAGCTGGGTACATACCAGCCCCACAGAGACCCGAGCATCAGCCAGGGACATGCCAGGTGACCGGCCTTGTGGAGGTGTGGCCTTGTGCCTGGCTGATGCCTGGGGCTCTGTGTGGCTGGCAGAGCTTAGCTGAGGCCCAAGGCTGGAGCAGCGAGCGTGTGAGGAACAGTGGGAGGTTGGGGTGGCCGGGGTCCTGCGGAGGGTGGGGTCGGCCAAGGAAAGGGGCAGCTGGGGGCAGCTAGGGAGGGGTCTAGGGCCCGCACCAGGGACGGGAAGCCACGGAGGTTGGGAGCTGAGGGCAATGTGACGTGCTTTAGTACAGGTTCCCCTGGGCTGTGGGAGGACCTGGGGACCACGAGGATTGGAGGCTGCTGGGAGGCTGGACCTGGCTCTTTCTGGCCACAGGCTCTGGACCTCACCTCCCCCAGGTCTGGGGTCTGCCTCCCGGGATTCAGGCCCTGCTCCTGAGCCTGTGCAGTGGCCAGGCACCTGTGTCCTCCCCAGCCATTAACTGACACTCTGAGTCTCAGGTCTTCCCCGTGTTCTCTGCCCAGGCCTGACATCTCCCTTCTTAGACACAGTTCACCCCAGTTCACTTCCTGGGGTCATCCCTCATGCCCAGCATGGAACCTCTTACTTGCCCATTGGTCTGAGAACCCGATGGCCAGATCTAACCTGACATAATGGGGTGCTCCAGCCCCCAAAACAGCCTGCAAGGGTGGAGAGTTTCAGAGGGAACTGGGTTTGAATCCTCACTCTGCTGTGTGATGTTTGTGAAGTGCCTAAACCTCTCTGGACAGCAGTTTTCTTGCTTCCAAGATGGAGCCAACACTACCTGCTCCAGGGGTGGATGGGGACTCAGGCTCACAAGAGAGGGCACCCAGCAGCTCCTGCCCCACAGGCCTCCTGCTCCCTGTTCTCCCACCTCCCTCCCTGAAGACAGGAGGTAGGGCTCCTTCCCTAAGGTGACGCTGGAAGTCAAAATGTCAGGGTCTGCCGTGACTTACCATCCACAGAATGGGGATAACAGTGCCCACCTCAAAGTGGTGGTGTAGGCACGGCTGGGCTGACATGTGTGGAGCACCCAGGACAGTTCCTGGCATGTTGTGACCACTCGATGACTTCTGCTGTGGCTCTAGTGGAGCCTGCTCCTGTCCCCCTTTCCAGCCATCCCTGAGCATCACTGTGGAGTCATAAGGGCTTAAATTGACGGACACTCTCCATCCCTCTAAGCGTCAGGTTCAACACCCATGTTTCACACATGGGGAAACCAAGGTCCAGGACAGGGACGGACCAGCCCAAGGCCACGTGTAGGGGGCAGAAGGGGACTGGGCCCCATGTCCACACACCCTCCCATGGCCCACTTTGGGAGGGCCGTGAGAGGAGGGAGCTGAGAGTGGGCAGCCGCCATTGCGGGTCCAGGGCAGGAGAGAAGCCCACTGTGGGGCTCAGGGCAGCCGCTGCCCAGGGGGCGAGTCCCACCCAGGTGGCGTCCTCACCGCCGGACCCTGGGCTCTTCCTTTCCACCAGTTCATCAAGCAGTCTCACCCTCCCCAGCCCCAGACGTGGGGTGGCGTTGGTCACGCTGAGCCCTCAGCCAGGCTGGGAGAGTCCCAGACTTCACCTTGGTCCCAGCATGGAAGTGAAGGGGACAGAAGGGGCAGCCCGTCCCTGCACTGTCTCCTTCAGCCCCTGAGGCCCCACGGGGCAGGAGAGCAGGATGCTCAATTTACAGACCAGGCGACAGAGTTCCCGAGAGGCTAGGCCACCTGACCAAGCCTGGTGACAAGAGAGTCTCCCAGAGGTGAGAGCTGAGCCTCAGAGAGGTCAGGAGCTCAGCTAAAGCTACCCAGCAGAGCTGGCCCCTGACACCTGGTCCCTGTGACCCCAGAGCTGTGTTTTGCCCAGAGCCTTGTCCCACCCCCACCTTGCCCAGGAGGCTGGCTCTGTGCCCGCCTCAGTCCCACGCTGCTCTCCCGACCAGGGCTGGCTGTCGGCCAGGTTGAGTTTACAGGGCGTCTTCTAGAATTACCAGTCAGATCATGTGCCCCTTGGGGACAGGTCTGGGTGCTGTCAGGACACTCTGTCTTCTTGGGATGAGCTGGTCTCATGACCTCCCCGACCCCCATATCAGTACCCTGGCAGTGCAGGCCTGGTGTGAACCCAAGGCCCATGAAGAGGTAGTTCACACCTGGGCTGGGCTGCCCAGGGTCAGGGTCCCCAGATGGGGGTGGGGCACTTCACACGGCTGAGGCTCCTGCAAGTGAAGTAATGCCCCTGCTCACACAGCAGACCCCAGCCCAGGGCCACCAGCCCTAGGTACCCAAGCCAGTCCTCCTGAATTCTCATTTCAAAAGGCAGTGACAGGGACTCAGGGGTCTGCAGCAGGCCTGCCTGCTGTCCCCAGGTCTCCAGGGCCTGAGTAGCTCTGCTGACACTTAAATCACATCCCATGACAGGCAGTGCCTGGCTGGACTTGGAGAAGCTGCCCTTCCTGACCGAGGAGGGCACTCGGGCTGCAGAGGAGGCCAAAGAGCCAGCTGGGGCCCGCAGTGGCTTCTGTCCAGAAACCCCGCCAGCCAGCCTCTGACCCGGGGAGGCGGTGGCTGCTGAGTCTCGGTTTCCTCTTGGGAAGCGCTGCTCTCCTCACAGCCTTCAGCTGCTCCATGTCTGGAATCTGCAGGGCTCTGCTCCACCCCCCTGTCCCCGTCCCCAGGGTGTTGTGTGTGTCCTGCTCAGTGCCGTATCCCCAGCCTAGGATGGTGGTGGACGAGGACGTACAGAGCTCTAAGTGCACACCAGGCCCTCCCGGTGCTGGTCCCATGGACAGAGAGCAGCTGGGTGGAAGGGGTCAGTACTTGGTGCTCATCAAGCCCCAAGGGGCCAGGGGTGGACACAGTGGAGGACAGTGAGGGGCTGAGAGAGGCTGGACAGGGATGGTTTCCCACACGCGGCTCCTTCATCAAGTGCACACTCAGGACCAGTCCCACGTTGGACCCTGGAGGGGCAGATGGAGGCTGCAGTGTCTAGGACCTCACCCCCCGGACAACCTGGCCCCTGACAGTCCTGCCTCTGGCCCTGCGGTTGCTGTGCTCTTGACATTCCTCTGACTTCGGAGAGGGCCTTTTGGTGGGGAGCCACAGGATGGGGCATTTATGTTGTATGACCTGGGATAGGTGCCTGCACCTCTCTGATCCTCTGTGTTGTCACCTCACACTGGTCATGAGGAATAACTGAGACAGGGCAGGAAGGGGACGGTACCCCACAGACCAGCCTTCTCCAGCCACACTGCTTAGCTTAGAGTCACCCCTGAGGCGCGTGCAGACAGAGCCCATCCCCCAGGAGTGGGGAGTACGGGCCGATTCCCCAGAGCACAGCATGGTGGCACGTGGGGCAAGGACTTCTCCTGCCTCTCCTCGTAGTCCGGGCTCTCTAGTGAGGGTGACAGGAGCCCCAGGTGCAGGGTGACCAGCTGGTCCCAGTTGCTCTGACTTCTCCAGGTTCAGCACTGGAAGTGCCCCCTACCAGGACCCCCTCCATCCTGGGTGACTAGAGGTGGGTGGTCACCCTATTAAGGACAGAGTTGACCAGAGAAAGCTCTCAAGATAATGGGGACCTCGGAGCAACAGAGGTTCCTGCATCCTCCCTTCACCCGGGTGAGAGGGTGCAGGTGGGATGACTCAAATGCTCTTTGGGGCCCAGGGGCTGAGCCCAGCGGGGCCACCCGGCTGCTTCCCTGAGCACACAGGACAGGAGGAGCCCTCCCCGCTCACAGATCCATGACACAATTCAAAGCAGAACAATTCAGCCCTGCGGTGAACATGCGCTCACTTGGCGGATTTCATGCCACAAATGAATTCTTTTTAAAGAGCTCTATCGTTTCGGGAGTTCATGACTTTTCTAGATTCATCTCCCTTAACATATCGTCCGCAAGAATGAACAAGAGGCACTCTCATTTAATAGAAAGGAAGGAGGAAGAGGTGTCAGCTAGGAGAGCAAACTCCACTCTCAGAATCCAGCAGCTTGAAAGAAAGCAATGCGTCTGGCAAATCGCGGTCGGGGCGGGAGACCACTTGTGTGCTCCTAAAGGGACAGGAAAGGAGATGCTGGTGGTGGGCGGTGTCCCCCACCATCAGCCAGCTGGAAGAAAATGAGGTTTTCAGTGGGTCTGGCAAGGTAAGGGGACAATTTTCATGAACACGAAGAATCCATTGCCACAGTCAGAGCTCAGGCCGGACCTTCCCCAGGGTGTCCATAAAGTGGATTGGGAGACCTGGAGCTGTCAAGGACAGGGACTTCCATGTGGGATTCTGGAAGGGAAACCTGAGCCAATGACATTGTCATCGGAATGTTAAACCTCCTGTGAGACCCTGTTTTTCATCTGAAAAGCCCCTGCACACTCCCAGCCCGGGTGATGCCCCAGCCTGGGGTGGAGGACCCTGCCATGCTGGGCCCTGTAAGGAGGAGGATCTCAGAGTCCTCAGAGGGAGAAGCTGCGGTTACCCCATTTTGCAGAGAAGGAAATAGACTGAGAAGAAGGGTTGTCTGGGGTTACACCGCCAGGAGGCAGCAGAGCAGAGGCCGCGCCTGGGATCGCCGGGGTGTCCTGGCCAGGGTCTTCGGGGAGCCGTCTGGTCTATTAGGGACCTGTTTGTCGGTCACTGGCCAGGCGTGCTGTGAGTCTCAGGTTAATCACTTCACCCTGTGGGCCTGGGAGGTCTTCTGACCCCATCCCCAGCTCAGAGCCGTGAGGTGACTGGCCCGTGGCCTCACAGAAGTGTGTGGAGCAGGTGGAGTTCCAGTTGCTCACCCACAGCCCGAGCGCTCTTCTGCAGGAGCGAGGTACTGGGTGCCACGCCCACCGGCCACGCCCACCCGCCCCTCCTGGCCCCGCCTCCGGCCACGCCCTCACCTTGTGCTGCCCCCCAGCAGCCCTGCAGGGCGAGCTCTGCTGTCCAGCTTCCTGCTGAGCTCTCCCACCGGCTGGGCTGCCTGGGGGTGGGAGGTGGCCTGGCTGGGGTGGGGGTGGCCTGCCAGCTCCAGGGCCCTCCTGTCACTGCTGTGACTCGGTTCTGCTCTCTCCACTCTGTCCAGGAATCATCTCCACACCAACCCTCCCCCCAGCCCAAGCCCAGGGCACCCTAGTCCTTACTTTAGACTGCACAGGGAAAGTAAGTCCTTGGCAGAGTCCAGCCTGAGGCCCCGCTGCAGGGACTCACTTCCCTCCCTCATTGGCCTGACCAGACACCTGCTCGGGGGCCCTTCATGCACACAATGGAAATCCAGCCTTTGGCCCATGTGCTCCAGCTTGGGTTGCCTTTAAGTTGCTGCCACCCCGAGGTGGAGCTGGGGACGCCTGGATGAGACCCAGGTGGGGCTGGCCTCGGGGACACTCCACCTCAGACTCTAACCACGAGGGTCAGGGAAGCTGTCGGGGAGGCTTGCTGGAGGAGGTAGGGCAGAGGTGGGCCCTGGCAGGTCAGACAGGAGGGTGATGCAGTGGCCACACCTGGTACCCTGGGCAACAGGGTTGGTGAGGTTCAGGAGCAGTGGCTGAGGAGAGAGGGGGGACAAGGCTGGGAGAGCCGCTGTCCTGGGGAAGGAGAGGTAGGCCATCTAGGAGCGCAGAGAGAAGCCCAGCTGGGCACAGCACACAGGGCGGCCTGAGAGAGGCTGGCACCTCCAGGGACCCTGGGCTACCTACAGAGCCTGGGCCGCCCTCGCGCATCCAGCCATGTCCTGGGGCTCTAGACAATGATTTCTCCTCCTCCCTGTCTCTCCTCAGCCCTGCCTGGTAGCCTGTGGGAGTGGCTAGACACAGCCAAGCATTTCAATCATTTTCAAGGCCTGAGAGTATCTTCAATGGCTGAAGGGACATCAGAGTGTCAGGTTGTTAGAGATGCATCACTCAAGCCCACTGTGTGCCAGGCACTGGCCACCCTGATCCTCTAGTCATGGCAGCTGCCTTCACCCCTCTCCATCTTGGCATCCTGCGAGGCTCCACCCACCACTGACCACATTTTAATAGTGGTGGATTTTAGACTGAGCCCCTGGGCGCCCCCCTGGAGATGCTGCCAGAAGAGGCCGGAAGCCAGAGAACAGATATGGGTTAGGGTTAGGGTTAGGATTAGGGGTTAGGATTAGGGTTAGAGGTTAGGGTTAGGGGTTAGGGTTAGGGTTAGGATTAGGTGGATGGGGTTAGGGGTAGGGGTAGGGGTTAGGGTTAGGGTTAGGGGGTAGGGGTTAGGGTTACAGGTAGGGGTAGGGGCTAGGGTTAGGGTTAGGGGTAGGGTTAGGGTTAGGGGTAGGGGTTAGGGTAGGGTTAGGGTTAGGATTGCAGTTACTTAACTTCTCTGAGCCTTGGTTTCCCCATGTGTGATGAGGAATCACGACCCTCCCTGAGGGCTGCTGGCAGCAGAGGACAGGATGGTGGCCACCACAACAGGTTAGACGAAGGGTCATCTGGGCATCTTTGCTGGCTCCTTGACTGCCTGGCCCAGCCTGAGAAGCCCAGCGCAGCGTTTCCTGCCTTCCTGGTGACGGAGACACCCCTGCAGCCCCTCGGCTGGCCAGGCCCCAGCCTGTCCTTCCCTCAAGGTGGGGCTTGCACATGCCTGGAGCCTCGCCCTGCTCTGAAGCTGTGTCCAGGACCTCGCCGGCCAGTCTGCCTCCCAGATAGATTATGAGGCCCAAAATCAAATCCATAACAAAAACAGTGGGTGACCCGTACAGGGTGGTCATCAGTTTCCCTGTGTGCAGTCGCTGTGATGAGTGCCCACCTGCCCATGTCCCCTGGTCCTTACCTTATACAGGAGTCAGAGTGGATAGGACCTGGTCTTAGAGAGAGGTGGCCACTGCTCACGGTCACACAGCAGAGTCTGGAGGGCTGGACTTGCTCCCTCCTCTCCCTCTAATTCCCGACCTGGGAGTTCCTGGAGAACGGAGCCCACAACCGTCATCTCTGGTCAGCACAGTAAGGCCCTGACTCAGCCTGGGAGATGGGGAGTGCAGCCTCCGCACATGGGACTCTTCAGAGGACAGACTCTTGGACTGTGCGAGGAGATCCAGGTGTGGCTTGGGATCAGTCATCCCTTCTCTGCCTGCCTCTGGGCAGCTCAGTTTCCCTCTTGTGCCTCAGTCTCTTCATCAATAAAACGGAGCCATCAGAGCCCAGTACATGGTTTACGGTATTCAAGGATGAATTCCACGTCTCTGCTGGCAGCTGGCACCCCAGACACCCCCTGACCCCAAGTCTGATTCTCCTGAGCCTCTAGCAGCCGGGGAGGGCTGGCTCAGCCTGGAGGCCTGGGCGGCGCAGGGGGCGTAGGAAGCTGCAGGAGAAGTTGGTGTTTTTGCAGGTGGGGTCTCAAGTGGCCTGGGATGTAAAACATGCTTTTGGATTAGAGTCAAGATAGAGATAGACTGCAAATGTCACATGAATTTTAACAGTAAACACACGACTTCAAGAGTTCTTCCCCAGGAAAGGTTAAGAAGCTCTGCTAGAAAAAGATGAGCCCAAAGACCGAGGCTCCCTCCCACCTCTGTCCCCAGCAGCCGGGCAAACTTGGACAACGGCGCCACCTCCCTGGGCCTGCTTCTTCACCAGCAAGATGGGCAGAGGAGCAGGGTCCTGGGGAGAGGGACAGGGTCGGGATTCCGGCATGGGGACAGAGGTGGGTGGCCCATAGGATGGGAAGTCTCTGCAGAGAGCAAAGTGTGTGGCCGAGGGGGGAGGGGACCCTGAGGACATGCCCACCCATGGAGGGCACTCCAAGGTGACCTGGGAGAGGGAGCAGGAGAGTGGCTCTCTAGTGCCCTGGGCGTGGAGGCTGGCCTCTGCTCTCCACCGGGTCCCTTTCTCCCTTGCAGGGAGAACAATCCACCCTCCAGAGCAGCGGGGTCAGAAGGATGCTCGGGGCGCTTCCAGGAAGAGGACGCCCCCTGAAGTCTGCCGGGCGACTGTCTGAGATTTTCATTTTTCTCCATAACAACCTGAACATCTCCAGGGCAGGCAGCAGCTAACAGCTTCCTTTTTCATTTGTGGGCTGCCTGGAGAGAGAGAGAGAGAGAGAGAGAGAGAGAGAGTGTGTGTGTGTGTGTGTGTGTGGGGTGACTGCCTCCGGCTCCCAGTGAGCTCCGGGGCTCCCCCCAGGGCTGTCTGGAACCAGGAGTGTGTCTTCAGGCCCTAGCCCTGTCACCTTACCTGCTTTCTTTTGGCCACCACAAACTGCACGCCCCACCCATAATCAGAAGGGCAGGAAGATTTGTGCCCACTAGCGCCCTGCAAGTCCCCAGCCCCCTCTTTCAGGGTCGCAGATGGCCCAGCCCCCCCCCCACGTCCCCCAGTGCTTTCATACCGGGTAACCCTCCTAGTGGTGCCCGCTCCCCCGCCCACCTGCGCAGGCTGTGGGCCTGAGCTGGACCAGCCCCGTCCTGGCCGGCAGAGGCCGTCTCTTCTGGGTTCTGTACCTTTTCATATCACGAAGCACTGCTGAAAGTTTGTTGTTGCTGTTTTGTCTTAAATGTCACCTGGCGGGTGAGCTCCAGAGACAGTCTGCAAGTGGTCACGGCGACCCTCCTGCGAGAGCAGCCCAGGCCCTCCGGGTCGTCCTCCATGGGCACTCGAGAGGCAGGGCTTGGCCGAGGGAGGCTGGTCTTTCCTGGAACATCTCCTCCTCCGTGGACAGGGCTGGAGTGGGCGGAGCCTGAGGCCGGAGTGGGCGGAGCCTGCAGCTCCATTGGTGGGAGGGCTCCCTGTGGGTTGTGTGCAGCCTCTGGCGGGCAGGGGCCTTGGTGCTAGTTTTCCTTTTGTTTAGAGAATAGCCCACCTTGGGGTGGTCCTCAGACGGGGCACGGAGAGTCAGGGTCCACTCTTTCATTACACCCAGGCAACAGGTGCAGAAGAGCTGTCCCCGGCCCTGGGGACTCACAGCTGCCCTGCCCCATCCTTACCTCTAAGCTCCCTCTAGTGACCCTGGTGGGAGCTGCCGTTCGCCGGCAGCAGGCCAGTGGGAGCCCACCCTGAGCTGTCCACTCCAGAGCCCAGGGCAAGGGCTCTGATCTCTAGCACTCTGTCACACAGTCAGGAGGGGGACTCTAGGGTTTTCTGGTGGCCCTGAGCTTGACTTAGGGAGGAGGCTGTTCTGTGCTGTTAGGGGAGCTGGTAGTTGACCCAGAGGATATGGTTGGCTTCTGGCAAGGAAGCAAAGAGAGGGAAGGAGAGCCAGAGAGAATGAGGAGTGGGACCAGCCCTTAGGCGACCAGTTACACCAGACAGAACATTTCTTGGTTTGCTTAACTCATGTTTTTGTCACTTGCAATCAGAAAGCCCCAGCCCTCCTCTGTGTACATGTGACTCTCAGGGAAACCTGAAGCTCGTTTTAACTCAATTTTATTTGACTTTATTTGTAGCATTCTTATTGCCTTAAACATTTAAAAAAATTGATGATCCCATAATAACTGCACATATTTAAGGGCTACGGCGTGGGGTTGCAATACACAGGTAAGTATGTAGTCATCAGATTGGCATAACCCATGTTTCCATTCTCTTATCATTATTGTGCATCTGGCTCCTTTCCTCTGGTTATTCATAAAGTAAAGAGTCGGTTAAAAACAAGCTCGGGGAAGGCAGAGACCAGGCACAGGTTGGCGAGTCCAAGAGCTGATCCCAGGCCCAGGTCTGCCCTCCCCGGCCACAAGCAAGTCCACAGCTGCTGAAGGTCCCTCTTACTAAAGGAATGTGGGAAATGTAGGGAGCTGACCCTGCGCCCCATGGGAACTCCCCCAGGGTCTGGATCCAACAGAGGAACAGATTCATCCCTGCCGTGTCCAGGAGATAGCTGTTTCACTTTGACCTTTGACCCTGGACCCCAGTAAAAGGGGGCTGGAAGGGCCTTTTGGCGGTGGATCCTGGACTGTAACCAAAACCAGACTGCAGCTCCCGGGGAGGTCTCACTGCGCCTGCAGGGGTTCCAGTGACTTCCAGGCTGAGGCGCCTGGCCACTTCTCGCTGGGAGCGCTAATCACAGCTCACCTGCGGCTCTGGCAATGATCACCCGTCAGGGTTCATTTGAGCTATTGGCCTCCCAGAGACCCCCACCCCCCACCGGACGGCCCAGCGGCTTCCAAGGAAGTGAGAGGGAGGAAAATTAGCTTCTTTACACCTCGCCTTGAATTGGGACTGGCAGCCGCAGAGCAGCTTGTGTCCTGCCAAGCCCGATAACAGAACTGTCATGGTCCACGGAAGCGCTGGCCCTGGGAGGTGGACGGGGAGGATTCCAGGCAATTGTGGAACTTGCCTGCAATAAGGGCCACCTCAAATTAGATCACAGTGAGGGATTTCAGACTCTGCAAATTGCATCTAAGCGTTTCTTCCCCTGATCCTCAGTAGGGTCTCACATCTTGCCTCACTTAACTCTGAATCCTACTCTCTTCAAGACCATTACCTTTAGAGATAGCCAGATCTGGGCTTGAATCCATGCTTGGCAAGCGACTGGTGTGTGACTACAGGCAAGGGACTTCAAGTGATAAGGGAAAATGGGAAGGGTAATTGTTTTAGTTGGGTTCAATTCTGAATTAAGCCAGAAAGGGGAGTTTACAGTCTCATGGGAGTTCAGGTCTGGCTGGATCCAGGCGCTCAGATGAGGTTGTCAGACATCCATCACACTCCATATCTTGGCCCTGCTTTCCTCTGCATGGGCTTCACTCTCAGGAAGACTCTGTCCCTTAGAGGGAACCAGCAACTCCAGTAGAAGAGTAAGAAGAGTATTTTGCTTGCCCAATAATTCCAACAAAGTTCCAGAATGAAGTCCCATTGGCCAAGCGAGTTCATATGCTCACTCCATGGTCCCCACAAAAGTGGAGTAGCCTTAGCAGGGGCAAGAGGAGCAGGTGAAGGAACCCTACATATGGCAGTCATCAGCATGTGCCAGGCGCAGTTCTAAGCCCCTGAGTCTGTTTAACTGAACTGATCTTCCAGCCGCCCTACCAGGTAGGCAACATTATTGTTCCCATTCCATAGATCAGGAAACCGAGGCACAGAGGTTTCATAATGTGCTCCAGCTTGTTAGTGGTGGTGCTGAGGTTTGAACCTGTGGCGTCTGACTCCAGGGTGTGCTCCAACATCAGAGCCTTCACAAGGACCGAATGAGACTAAGCAGGTGCCTGGCACAGTCCACATCGGTAAAAGTGGCCTCTGTCACGACTGTTGAGTTCCAGCTGTGGTGCCGCGGCTGCACTTTGATTCAGAAAAAAAAAGGAGTCTTCCCTCTTGGAGGACAGTCCAGTGGTGGTGGTGGTGGCGGTGGCACCGACAGGTCACCACTGTCGAACAAGAGGGTGGTAGGAAGGGGCGAGGTGTTGGCGAGGGGGACTGGGGATGCACCCCAGGTGGACGGTGGTCAGGGTGGGCTCCCTGGAGGAGACAGCCATGAAAGGTGGAGCTTGCAGCCCGGCTCGGTGATGTTCCTGATCAGGTGTCAGAAATCCCCGTGCGGACTCACACCCAGAGGGGCTGGGACACCGTGTGGACTCTCCAAACCAAGGCAGGACTGCGCTGGGACCCCGGGACGAGAGGGCCGAGTGGGCAGCAGGTCCTCCCTGCCCTGGTGCCTTTCCCTCCATCTCCGGATCCTGCTTTAGTGTCTAAGAACATCAAATGTGACATAAAACTCATTTGGAAAATCATAGTTTGTATATGTATGCATATTTCTACTATTTCTGTTGTTTCTTCATCTCCTTAAAGCTCCAAGATTTCTTTTAAAATTATTTCCTTTCTGTTGGAAGGAATCTCTTGGTTTAGTTTATTTTCTGTTGACATTACAAAATACTTGAGGTTGGATCATTTATTAAATAAAAAGGTTTATTTCAGCTTTAGAGCCTGGGAAGTTCAAGATTAGGTGGTTGCAGCTGGCAAGAGCCTCGTGCTGTGGAAGATAGTGTCACTTGGTGGGAGCACTTGTGCATGGAGTGCAGGAATATGCAAAAGAGGCCAAAAATCAGAGGTAAACATGCTTTATGACAACCTGCTCTATCAGTAATAATCCAGTCACGTAAAACCCAGCTCACTCCCAGGCACTCCAATGCAGTCTGGAGAGAGCAACCCAAACTTGCATTCCCCATAGCCAACTTTTAGGTATAGATCTGCTAGTGACAGTGTTTGAAATTTTCCTTTGAGGGTGCCTTTATTTTCTTCTATGTGTTTGAGGACAATTTCACCAGATACAGAATTTCCGATCAACAAGGATTTTTTCCCCCAGCACTTAGGAAATATTATCTTTTTTTTTTTGGAGGGGGTGCTTTACAGTTTCCAAATGAGAAATCTGCAGTTACCAGCTTTAGGAAAACTGTTAGATAACTTGTAGCTTCTATCTGGCTGCTTCCAATATTTTTGGTTTTGTCTTCAGTTTTAGAAAGTTATCACGGGTCTCGGCATGCGGGGTTTCTGTTTAACTTCTATGGTGTAGTCTCATTTTCTTGGATCTGTAGATTTGTGTCTTTCATCAGATTTGGACCATTGTCAGCAGTTATTCTGCCAGCACTCCCCCAGCCCTCTTCTCTTTTACCCCTCCTTCTTGAACTCTGATGATGTAGATGTTGGATATTTTCTCGTTGTCCCCAGGTGCCTGTGGCTCCTTGTTCCATTTCTTTCTGCTGTTCAGATTGGGTGAATTCTATTGTTTTGTCCTCAAGTCCACTGATCCTATTCTGTCATCTCCAGCCTACTATTTAGCAAGTTTTGGAAATTCTTATTTATTGCATTTTTTCAGTTCTATAATTTCCTTTTGGTTGTTATTTACTATTTTGAGAGGATGGGCCCGCTGAAGCATTTTATGACATCTGCTTTACAATCCTTGTCAAATAATTCCAGGATCTGGTTGACCAGGTGTCTGTCGTCGGTGAATGGTCTTTGCTCATTTAAATCATGATCGTATAGTTGAGTGGTTTCCAGTAGCCTCCTGTCCCTTTGTTATCCCCCTACAGGTGGATCTGGGTGGGGAGGAGAGTCTTGGGCCCTGGGGACAGAGGCTGGGTGTGGGGTTTGCACTCGCGGAGGTGTTGGGAATGCCACGGCTCCTGGGTGAGAGAGGTGGGTACAGGGACGCAGCTGGTGTGGATCCAATGTCACCCTCTGGGTGGTGGCTGGGCTTGACTTCTGGCCTCACACCAGGTCCCCACACTGGCCTCCAGACCACTTTTTTGAGACACACCTGACCCCATGTTGCTGCTGGCGAGCGGCAGAGTGGCCATGGGCTTGAGTTCCAGACCACGTGGGTCCTGGCTCAGATGAGAGCCCAGTTCTGCCACTTAATGCTGTGGTAACTGACCTAACCCCTCTCTGCCTCGGCTGCATCTTGTACAGAAGACCACGGTGACCCCTGCCCCAGCCTGTGATTTCCTGTTGGGTTCTGATGAGTGGGGGAGGGAGTCCATAAACATGAGGGGAGTGGCACTTGGTGGCCTGGGAACATGTCAATCACTTGGGGTATCTTTCAGGTTCCTTCAGGGCCTGGCCTCTGCAGCTGCCCGACCTCAGCTCCTAGTGACCTCTCCTCCCTCACACTCTTCTCTCACTGTTACTCTGACTCACTGTCCCCAATACTTCTGCTCAGGAGCCAGCCTCCGGGGAGGCCATCCGACCCCCTCTGCTGTACCCT